GAGGAGCTGTGCAAGTCCATCCAGCGCATCCTGGAGCGGGTGCTGAAGGTGAGGGGCCCTGGCCGGCCTGGCCCGCCTGAGCCCGCCCCGCGGCCCCGAGCTCGGCAGTGACCCGCGGAAAAAGCGGACGGGGAGGCTGGACGCCGCCCCGACCCCGCCCTTCTGGCTTGCAGGGGCCACCAAAGACATGGGCAAGATGCTGGGGGGCGACGAGGAGAAGGACCCCGACGCCGCCAAGAAGGAGGAGGAGCGCCAGGAGGCGCTGCGGCAGGAGGAGGAGGAGCGCAAGGCCAAGTACGCCAAGATGGAGGCGGAGCGCGAGGTCATGCGGCAGGGCATCCGCGACAAGGTGGGCACGGCGCGGCCGGGCGGCTGAGGGCTCTCAGGCGGGCGAGAAGCAGCGTCCGGCCGGGGGAGGCCTCCTCCCTGCTCCGGGAGCCGCCTCTCGCGGCCTGCCGTCCGAGCGGTGCGGAGCCTGAGGAACTAGAGCCTTAAGCAAGGAAACACTTTTTGTTAGGAGAGAGACTTGGGGCGTAGCTGAGGTCATCACGGGAGGTCACGGTCGTGGCGTCTGGGGCCCACGTGCCCCTGAGAGAGCGGGGCCCCGGGGCGGTCGCCGGCCTGCGAGCGCTGCCGTGTGTCCATTGCAGCGGGACGACCCTGGGCCAGTCCCCGCTGGGGCAGGTGCAGCTGACGGTGCGGCACAGCTCGCAGAGGAACAAGCTGGTGGTGGTGGTGCACGCCTGCAGGTGAGCCGGCCCGCCCGCCCGGGCGCCCCCGGCCCCCTTCCTCGAGTCTCGCTCTTCGGGCGACGTTCGCCGTGGGGGTGTCCGCTCGACGGGTCCAGAAAGTGGGTGGCGCCGAGAGGTGTGGCCAGACCGTGGCTGGCGGAGCGGGGTGGGCGCTGCCCCCGCCCGGCCCGCGCCGCCTTGGCCTGTCGGTGCCGCTGTGCCTTCGTGCGACTGGCCTGTGGTCACTTACCCAGGACGTGACTGGGCCAGAAACGCGGGGACGGAATTAGCGACGTCTAGAAACAGGGCCTGGGGGTGCGGTGCTGGGCTCCCCTGGGGTTCTCGCTCCTCGGGCGGACGGACCCCGCTCCGCGGCCCGCAGCGCTGGCGTTGGCCGGCGGGGG